CCATTGGTGCAGTTTCCCCATGTCCACAGCCCCATGCAGGGCTGACCTCCCCCTCTATCATATCAGCTATCATGAAAGGCCAGGAGAGGACGGCTCCAATGCACATTTTTGATGGCAGGATCTCTGTGCGGATTGTGTCTACTTTAGAGGTGGGAGAAGTTTAAAAAGAAGGAGGAGGAGGAGAAGGAGCAAGAAGAAGGAAGAAGAAGAGATGATTTTCTCCAAGTTCCCTTTTTCATGCTGGAGAGTCAGAGGACTTTTCCAGGGGGGAAAGCAGTTTCTTAAAAGTCACAAAGGGCTGGGCTTGGTGGTAGACGCCTGTGGCGCCACCCTGTGGGGAGCTGAGGCACAGCCAGTGCCAGTTTGAGGTCAGCCTGGCATACACAGAACCTGTTTCCAAAAACAAACAGAGCCGGGCACCGCTGGTTCACGCCTGTCATCCTAGCTACTCAGGAGACTGAGATCTGAGGATCACGATTCAAAGCCAGCCGGGCAGGAAAGTCCCTGAGATTCTTATCTTTAGTTAACACAGAAAACCAGAAGTGGTGCTGTGGCTCAAGTGGTAGAATGCTAGCCTGGAGCTGAAGAGATCAGGGATAGTGCCCAGGCCCAGAGTTCAAGCTGCATGGCCAACAAAACAAACAACAACACCAACAGCCTACAATCACTGTAATTCTTGAGGACTCACTGAGTCTAGGGAAACATCTAACCTAGATGATTTCTTCTACAGACTAGACCACTGGGTAAAGCAAATTTTTGTTGTTGTTGTTGTTGGTCATTTGACTTGAACTCAGGGCCTGGGTGCTGTCCCTGAGCTTGTTTGCTCAAGGCTAGTGCCAGTAGAGCAATTTTTTTTTTTTGTTAGTCGTGAGGCTTTAACTCAGGGTCTGGGCACTGTCCCTCAGCTCTTCAGCTCAAGGCTAGCGCTCTACCACTTACTTGAGCCACAGCACCACTTCCAGCTTTTTCTGCATATGTGTTGTTGAGGAATTGAATCCAGGGCTTCATGCATGGTAGGTAAGCGCTCTACCACTGATCCACATTCCCAGCCCCCAATAGAGTAATTTTTATCTCCATTTGTCAGTTGAGGAAATTGAGGCACACAAAGGTTAAAAAAAAATGCGCCAGAGTCTGGAAGTGACAGAGCAAGGGTGGGAATCTGACTGTATTAGAGAGCTCTGAGCACTGAGGCGGGCGTCCTTTATCTCTGTCTATGGTAGTTCCTTCCCCTGCATCGAGGCACCTGGCACAGATCCAGCCTCTTGGCCTCATGGAGTTTAGGGCCAGGAGGAACAGTAGGAATGGAGTCCCAGGGCCACAGAAGCTGGAGGAGAGGGAGGCCTGATCTCAACCTTGGTAATGAAGACAGAGAGGCAAGGAATGCTTGTGCTGACCTACTTTTTCTTGTGGGGGACCTTGAACTATTACCTCATCTACAAAAGAGGCCTGACAGCTCCAGCCCTGCCCACTTTTTTTTGTTGTTGTTGTTGCCAGTCCTGGGGCTTGAACTCAGGGCCTGGCCACAGTCCCTGAGCTCCTTTTGTTCAAGTCTAGCAATCTATCACTTGAGCCACAGTGCTACTTCTGGCTTTTTATGTTTATGTAGTACTGAGGAATGGAACCCAGAGCTTCGTGCATGCTAGGCAAGCACTCTACCATTAAACCACCTTCCCAGCCCCCTTCCTGCTTTTAAGAGCCTATAATTCTGGAGATAATGTTCATGGAGACTTGTGGGGGGTGGGTACACACATTGCACTCTTACACTTATTCATTCAAGGCTGGCACTGTACAACGTGAGCCACATCTACATTTCCCTGGTTTTGCTAGTTAATTGGAGATAAAACTCATGGATTTGTCTGCCTGGATTGGCTTCCGATCACAATCTTCAGATCTCAGCCTCCTGTGATCTGAGGATTACAGGTGTGAGCCACTAGTGCCTAGCCTGTTCTAGAGACATTTTTTAAACTATCAAGGACCAAGGACCCTGGAAACATTTGCGTTTCACGAAGAGGTGGGTACTGAGACGGGAGGAGGTTGGGATGCTGCCATTTTCAACTAAGGCCAGGTTTGCCACTGGCTTCTCTCCTTCCTCTCAGTGGCTCTCACCAGCCCTCTCTGCTTTCTGTTTACCTTGCGTGTGCACGAGGCAGCTGGAGATTGCCTTGTATACAAGGTGACTGGAGGCCCTAGGCCTCGATGCTGCTATGACTGCAGGGAGTCCCCTCCGGGAACCTCTCTCTCTGGGAGAACAGTGGCTTCCCCTGGCTAGCGGCGTCCCCATGACCTTGGGCAAGTCACTTACCCTGCTTCTGTCACTTCCGGGAGAAAAGCATGCAACCTCTCCTCTTCCTACCTCAGAGGGATTTATTTTGAGAAGCAAGGTCAATACTGGATGTGAAAATGCTTTTTTGGGGGAGGGGGGAGAAAATAGCAACACGCTCATGTAAGAGGCCCCTGTCACTTTATCATCCTGCTTGTTTTGCCTTTGTTTTCTCTCCTGGCACTTGGCCAAAGCAGGTACTCAGCACAGTCTGGATGAATGGAGATGGAAGTGGGACTGTGTAGTCTGCTCCTGCTGTGCATAAGCCCTGAGGTTTGAGGTTAGCCCTGGACCCTCGTGGCTTTAGATTCCCCCATGGAAATTACAAGATGGCTTAGGCATCTCTAAGTAGTAAAGGGAATGAAGGCATTGTTGCTCATTAAGTGGCCTCTTATCTTGATTGTACCACCTCCACCCTCAGCCAGGCTGCTGGAGACTGCTTTCAATGTTTTCCCTCTGGTCACACAGGAAGCTAGCTGGCCATACACTCCAATCTTACAGCAGAGACCATGGAAATTCACAGATGACTTGTCCAAAAGCTCACAGCTAGCAAATGACAGGGCTGGGACTCAAGCTCAGGCTTGAGTCCAAAGGTCATGCACATTATTACACCTGCCACATTGCTCCAGACTTCAGTTTCTCTCTGTGTGTGTGTGTGTGTGTGTATTCAAGCTTGAACTCAGGGTGCTGTCCCTTAATTTTTTGCTCAAGGCTATCGTTCTATAACATTTGAGCCACAGGTTCTCTACCTCTGGCTTTTTCAATGGTTCATTGGAGATAAAAAGTTTCAAGGACTTTCCTGTCTTGGCTGGCCTCAAACCATGATTCCCAGATTTCAGCCTGCTGAGTAGCTATGATTACAGGCATGAGCCACCGGTGCCACACTCAGTCTAGGGTTTCTCAGCGCCTACCTCCTCTCTCCTTTAGGGGAGAAATCTGGCCTCTGGAAACAAGCTAAGCCTCCAACACAGTTCAGTCCTTTTCCCCAAACAGCTTCCTCGCATTCACCCTTCACCCTGAGTTCTAGACCGGTGGGTGGGACCACTTGCAAAGCAGCAGGAGGAGCCCGAGGACTCCCCAGCCCGGCCGGCATGACCTTGGCCTGGCCGCCTCTTTTTATGGGTCGCGGCTCTGCCGAGCAGTTTGGTTTCCTGGTGGAGAGCAGGTGCTGCAGGCTCAGGGGTGGAGATACCGAGAGCCCCTCTCGCACCTGCCCCGGTCCCCGTCCCCCCTGCCCCGGTCCATCCCCCCCCTGCCCCGGTTCCCGCCCCCCCCCCGGCCCCGAGCCTCCGGGTTTCCCCGGTTTCACTTGGGAGGGAGGCCCGGTCTCTCCCCAGGGCCTTTGGCTGTTGCTGGAAGGGAGGTCCCGAGGGCAAAGGGCGGCAGGCCGGGGCATCCCCGGCGAGGCCCAGGGCGCTGGGGACCGGGCAACCTGGGCAAACCCGACGGGGCGCTCCCTCCCCTTCGGGAGGTGGGCTGCCCCCTCCCTCTCTCCCCCGGGCCTCGCGCCGCCAGGGCGGGCTGGGGCGGGGTGGGGGGGAGGCAGGGCCTTGGGGCGCCCCGAGCGGATGCGGGGCAGGAAGGCCGGACTGCGAGTGTCAGAAGTGGGGCGCTAGTGTGGTGAGAAGGTGGGGCGAGGGGGGCCTTTCGCGAGGGTCACCCCGAGACCCTCGGATCTCCGTGCCCCCGCATCTGCCTTTGGCCTCAAGGGAGGGCAGCCTGCGGGCCTTCGGAGTGGGGCGCCCCTCCCGTCCCCCCCTCCCCTCCCGAGACAGATCCGCCGAGCCGGCGCGC